TTGAGTGTATTTAAAAATATTTTTAAGAAACAGAGTCAAAATAGAAATAAGAAAGAACTTATTTAAAAAAAAACCTGAAAAATTGGGCCAAAAGGGAAAATAGCATAAAAGATGCCACGTGGACTGCCACATTAGCAATGTGGCCAATCGCCGTGCGTCTCATGGCAGACATGCAGACATGCATCCATGTGGAAAGTCATACAAGCGATCCACTTGTCAGCGGATCCAACGGCATAGATCTCCTCCCGTGCGCACGGACGACTTAAATTTGTTTCATCTTCTGATGCGATCAAACGACCAGATTTAATCTAATTGTGTAGTCCAGATTTATTCCCCAAATAAGAGCAATTTGACGGCTAGGAGTAGGCCACGTGTCCTTGCACAGACGACCCAGATTGATGCAGAGAGAGTATTAAAACATCATTTTTCAGAAACCCTAGCCCTAGTCGCACCTGACCCCGCTTGAGAAGAAGAAGAAGGGTGGCCGAAAGGAATGCCAACTACCGTCCGCTGCACCGTCACCGTCACTGACACCAGGGAGGTGAGTTTTTTCCCCATTTCGCTTTGAAATTTAATTCTAAGCATCTCCACACCCATTTCAGTGCTGAAAAGCCAAAAGGGAAGCAAAAATCGATAGGGGAGCTCGATCGAGGCACCACACTCGTGATCCAAAATTGCTCCGGTGAGCCCAATCCTGCTTCCCGTTTCCTTCTATTTTTCGACCATTAAATTCCTAACCTTTTTCTGGTATAGGATGACTGAAAAAAAAATTCCCAACCACGAGAGAGGAATGGCGGAGCCACCACACTAGAATATCACCATGCTGGTAAGCTTCAGTTTTTCCTTTTTTCTGGCCAATAGAGGCCACCTAACCTTGAAATTTACAGATTTTTGCACAAAACTAGGCAAAACTGGCCATACTAAGAGGAGACACTGCCATAACCAGTAGAGCCAACGCCGGATCTCAACTGCGCCGCTGTGCGAGAACCCTAAACCGACCAAAAAATTTTTAAACCCTTATCTTCGATCTTTTTGGGATATTTCAAACTATGTGACGCGTATTTTTAGTTTTCCCAGAAAAAATTCAAGAAATTGGGGAACCACCAGGAAGTAAAAGCGGTGTTTCGAACATTGACCTAAGATAAGAACCCCTCACCCTTTTCTCCCATTACGATTAATTAAAGTTTAATAAGTAATAATGATATAATTTGTGAATATTAGAAACTCCTAATTAATTAAATACCGGTCACGAGTGGAGCCGGTAACTAGTTAGTACGAAACTGCTTATTTTATCTACACTGTTCATTTATTGCTAGACTGTCATTGTTGCTTACAGCATGAACGTTAATTTATAGATTTATTTATCTTCTCATTTATTGATTACTTAAACTATTTATCTCTATGTGTTGATTAGTTTGAAATAAAATGCCCAGATAATGTTTTTCTTAGTTGTTAAAGTATTAATTTGTATTGCCCGTTTAATTGTCGTTCTATTGTTCTGTAAATATGGGATGAGATGATTGTGTGTAATTGGTGGCTGGTTGATGATGTGAACATGTATGTAAAAGGTTTTTCGAATATCATAGGAAATGGTGTACAGACTTGGTACAGAGGGCAAAACCCTATCGTGGACATTATCTTAGTCGAACGGGGCTGAGAAGTCCTATACTGAAAGGGGTTGGGAAGTATTTGTTCACCCTCATATTGGAGAGGGTATTGAGACGGTAGTACGTTGGTGCCCATTACTGGATGAGGTATAGGAACGACTGGTTAATGGACATATTAGATATTGGGTCTACGTGTAAGGGGAACCCCTATGGACCCCCAGAGGTACCGATAAGTAGGTAAAAATGTAAAGTTTGACTAATTTTGTTCTTTAGAATGTATAATAAATTATTATCTTGATTATTGCGTTCACAAGTCGAATTTGAAAACTTAAAAGATGGATATAAAACTTACGTTTTTACATTAAATGAATTTATCTAAAAAGAAAAATGACTCCATTGGTTGTTTTGTGATTTTTACTAATCTTTGATTTTTCGTATTGGTTATTAAGTGTTGACATTTTTACTGGACTAATGTAGTTCATTCCCCTTATTTAACCATTTTATATCAAGAACACCAAGATCCGGATCTTGAACAGTAAGAAAGTTAACGACTAAAGGTTGCCTCCCTTGCCCCATTAGAGTTGCCATGCAGAGGTTGACCCTATAGGATTTTAATTATATTTTTACTTATGTTATTTTAATCTCCTTTAAGGGATATTCCCGTAACCCTGTTAGGCATCTTAATTTACTGGATTAATGTAGGTCATTCCCCTTATTTAACTATTTCATATCAGGAATTCTAAGATCCGTATCCTGAACAGTAAGAAGGTTAGCGACTAAAGGTTACCTCCATCGCCCCATCAGAGTTGCCCTACGGAGGTTGACACTACAAGATTTTAATTATATTTCTATTTTTAATATTTTAATCTCTATTAAGGGACATTCTCGAAGTTCTATTGGGTATCGTATTTTACTGTGTAAAGAATGTAAATTCTAAATTCTCAATTGCTTTCGCTTATATTTCATTAACTCAATAAATTTCATTTCATAAAATTTTGGACTTTTACAAGCAATATACAATAAACAGGCAACAAAGAACGGGTGAGAATGAGTGACATGGAACAAACATATAACATAGAGTAAATGATAGATAAACAATAGAGAATAGGTGGCAAACGGTCGGTGGAGGACAGTTAGTGGTAGAAGATGGTTGGCAACAAACGATCTGTGGCTGACAGGTAGCAAAAAATGGCCAATTGGTGGAGAGTAACAATCGACTGGGGACGAAGAACAACCATTTTGGAAAAAAAAAAAATTAAAATTAAAACTATTATCAAGCAATTAATATTTTTAATTTTTATATTTAGATAAATTAAATGTATATTTGACTTTAATTTTAGTAAAAAAATATTTATTTTTATGCATTTGATTGTAAATTACATTTCAAATGCAGAAATTAAGAAATTTATTTGGAGAGTGGATGAATAATTAAATTTAAACCTATTTCAATATATAACTAGAATGAGTAAATATATTTTCTTTATAAGACTAAGTGTTGGGATATACAAGCCCAACCCCATAATTGCCCTCTGCCCATCACTACTATAAATAATATGCGGTTAGAGTCCTGTACTATTAATTAATTACAAGTCTTATTTTAGTCCAAACAAACAGAACTTTGAAAAATCCTTTCATAAAACCAGACCTTCAAACAAAAAGTTATTAGTTTCATAATAATCTAATTAATGCAATACACACAACAAAAATTATTTGCATAATACAGATCAACCTTCTATAATAAGCCAATAATTTGTGATACATTTTTGGTTTATTATATAATGAATGTATATTAGAAGTATGATATATAAATCATTAATGGGAGTATTTTTATTAACTTTAAAATTTTGAATATACTTATAATCATACAATGGTACGAATAATTATATAGAATTATTAATCAATCATATAATTAATATATATATATTTTTTTTATAAAAAAAAAAAGAAGCACAAAGTAAACAAGGTTGGACCACAAATAGTTCCAACCCAATTAAAAAAGTTATTTATTAGAGATCTAAATTAACCAGGCAGAGATAAAATCAGAATTACCAACTACGGTAATTCACAATATTTACAGCAACCTGATTCTCTCAGTGACTCATCTTTCTATTTCTATTTCAAGACATTGCAAAATATCTCTGTTTACAAAATTTACAAACTTTAATTTATATGAATGCTTCTTAATTATGGCTATTAAGATTCTCTTCCCAAAAGTTACTGTTTCATTTTCTTATAGTTTTGTATATATATATATTTTTTTGAGTCTATTTATTTAAAATTTTTAAATATAAAAATAAAATTTAAATTATGCATGAAATTTATAATCTGAAAAATAATTCATTAAAATATTATCTAGCAAACACTTTATAAAATATACTTTATTAAACTCTAAGTCTAAATTATAAACCAACACTAATATGAATAAGTATTACATAATCAACAAGAATTTAGTTTGCTTTCAATTAGTTGGAAAAAGTAATAAGTTTATTATCTAGCTATAATTTTTTTTTTGAATATAAATATATATGATTATAATATACATAAATATCTACTTGAAACTATATATACATAAATAATATATATATATATATAGCATGACCTGTCAAATGTGTGATGTCATGAGATTTTCTACATATATTGGGCATGTTCAAGGAATTTGGCATCCTCACAACCTTTGAAAATTATATTTACCCCTTCCTAAAGGGATTTACGGACTCAATATTATTATATTTAATTAACAATAACAAAATCAATAAAATTAAAACGAATAATAATTTCATAAACTATGATAAATCATCTAACCCATAACTAATAAAATATAAAATATAATCCTCTCACGCCTATTAATAATTACCTGACTTCATACTAAACTTTTGTTTTAAAAAATAAATAATTACTAGACATTAGTTTCAATTTTAATTTTAATTTTAATGGGTTTCAAATTTCGAAACGACAGGAGCGTGCTCTCACGCGCTCCAGTTCGCGGGTGGGAATGGGACATTCATGGCCGAGAAAGTGAAGGCAAACCACCCTAGACGGCTAGAACACCCCACCCAGTTTGTTGCCAAAATTAAAATGGATAAAGAGAACAAGCGAAAGAAAAATAAACAACACTGAGTTTCCATTTTCTTGTAAGCGAAGATCCAGTGTAGTTTCTCTGTTGCGCGTAATATACACACACACACACACACACACACACACATATATCTATGTATTTATTTATATATGTATATATATATGGAGCATCTGTAACTCCCACTTCTTGCTTCTCATATTAAGAGCCAAAACCTCAAATTACTATTACCATTAGACACAACCAACCACGGCTGACTCACCAATACAAGAATATATGTGCATATATAAAGGCATATAGACGTGTATATCTGTAGATATTTTCTGCATCTAATAGTTGGAAGGAAATTAAGAGACATTAAGGGGAAAATGGGGAGAGGAAGAGTGGAACTAAAGAGGATAGAGAACAAGATCAACAGACAAGTGACTTTCTCCAAAAGAAGGAATGGTTTGCTCAAGAAAGCTTACGAGCTTTCTGTGCTCTGCGATGCTGAAGTCGCTCTCATCATCTTCTCCAGCCGCGGCAAGCTTTATGAGTTTGGCAGCACTGGGTATGTATATATATATATATATATGCGTGTGTATATACAAACACATGCCTTTACCTCTCTCTCTCTCTCTCTCTGATCTGATCTTTTCGTTTCTTTTCTTAATAATTAAGTATATAAGAATCCTTCTCTTTGAGCTCTTTTGGGTTTTCCTGGGTTTAATTTTTCTTGGACTAATTTATTGCAAAAATTCGCCCTGGATATATGTAACATGTGTGTGTGTATACATGGATCATATTGTATAATATATATTTTGCATGATACTGTTCAGTATCAGATTTCTGGAGCATTAGACTACTGCCTACTTTTGTCGTTGTCCTCAGTTTCAGAACTCCTTCTCTCCCACTTCATGGATTATGTACATTTTGGCTTTTCCTCTCTTCTTTGAATTCTTTACAGTGCGTTCTCTTTTTATTTTCTGGGTTTTCTTCTATTTACTCATCTTCAGTTCACTGGTTTGTGTTTGAGGGTTATGGAGGAAAGCTTGGCTTTTTTAGCCACTTTCCAATCACAGATCGACACGTTTCGTTCCGCTAACCAGGACCTTCTCTCTCTCTCTCTCTCGCTCTATCTTGTTTAACAGATATATGGTGGCGATGTACGATTTCGGAAGAACACATCAAAAACGTGTTTAATGATCTCAACAGTCTGATTCTGGTATCGCTTTGTACCGAAAAATAAAAACCAGTGCCCGATCAGTGATCAGATTATAGTAGGTTTCCCTTTTGGGATCTCCGTGCAAGATCTAGGGTTTTCCCTATCATTTCTTAATCTGTCTTTCTCTCTCTTCGAAGCTCCATCAAAATACTGAGTGAAAAAGAAAAATTCAGATAGTGGTAGTAATTATTTTTATCTCTTTTCATCCTTCAATCTTCCGGATTTTAAAAATGTCTTCCTCCTCCATTTCCTTGCTCTATATTAGAAGGTTATCAGTGCAGATCATGGTGGGAATACTGCAATATATATTTGCTTGTAGCTATTTCATTCATATTTGTCTGATGATGATTATAGATCAAGGGTGGTGAAGGCACCTTCATTTAGTTTAACATATATATATATATATATATACATATATATCTTAAATCAATTAACACACACATATTTATATATATATACATATAGAGTCATATAACTCCATCAAATCTATGGCAAGTAGAAGACGTTTTGTTTGTTATTGTTCCCATTTTAGTCTACTGATTCTGTCCGTCTTCTGAAAGCTTTTCAGTGAAGTTGGGGTTTTTGGTCCATATTCTAAAGTTATATGTGTGTGTGTGTGTGTGTATATATATATAGTGTGCTTCACAAATTAAACTTCAGATTTGTTTGTGCAGTATAGCCAAAACCCTGGAGCGATACCAGCGATGCTCCAGCTTCAATCCTCAAGAAAACAGCCTTGAACGTGAGACACAGGTTTGCCACACTAATTTTTCTGTGAAATATTCTCTGCTCGATATAATCTGTTAAATATATGTATAATCTGCTTAAATATTGTCAACATTGAGTTAGAGTAATACCCATTAAAGATAGAAATTTATTTGAATTATATACAATGCTAATTATATTATATACCATTCAAATAAAGACAATACGGGTGAACTCGTGAACACTTTCCCTTGATTGAGAGTTAACAGAAATGTGGTCCTGCAAAATGTATATTCTTGGGTTTGATTGAACAACATTAATTGTATCATGAACATAGTATTAGCTTAATTAATTTTGTTTCTTGATTGAATTAGATTAAGTTTGTCGAGTTTAAATGATTACCAGGTTAATATACGTAATTTTCGCATCTGATTTCTGATGTCCTACTTTTCTCTTCTGTAATTTTAGCAGAGCTGGTATCAGGAGGTAGCAAAGTTGAAGGCAAAATACGAATCTTTACAACGAACCCAAAGGTAATTTTACAACCTCTGGTCATACATATATATATATATATATATATATATATATATATATAGCTGGAGAGATTACAAAAAAAAAAAAAAAAAAATTCCAACTTTAATAATATATTTTATTACACAACAAAATTTAAATATCCATGTCTAACGTAACAGATATAGAAATCCTTAATTAGTATAGGTTTCTATAAGTCCATTGGCCAATGAGTTAGTTTAAACCCTAATTACAAATAAAGCTTTCATTAATTAATGCTGAAATTAGTTGTGATTAATACTAAATAATTGACTGTACATACAGTATAAAGATAAACATTAACATATTGTCTAGTGTTGTTTTTTTTTTATTATTCTTCTTTTTTTTTTTTTTTGTTATATATTGACACAGGTTTTCAATAGAGATTGATGTTTTTTATCTTTTTTTTTTTTTAAGAAATTGCTTTATTTTTTCATTTTTTCAAATGGGTGAAGGTTGTAATCGAATCTAAGTTATTAAGATTTAATAAAATGACATCACATATATATATATATATATGTATGTAGCACAAACTTTGTGGTTGGTTGTCATGGCTAGTTTATATATATATATATATATAGATAATGTCTAGTACGTTCTCAATGTTAAGGGGCCGAAATTCTAATGTAGTTTAGTTCATAAATTTATGGAATTGTGGTATAAGGCATTTGCTTGGGGAAGATCTTGGACCACTGAATATTAAAGAGCTGCAAAATCTTGAGAAGCAGCTTGAAGGAGCTCTTGCACTTGCCAGGCAAAGGAAGGTACCTGTACCAATACTGACTGCATCTATTTACTTGATTGCAAAGAACTTGAGATGCATTAAATTAGTTGTTTAATTCTTTTCTTTCGTTGTGAACTGCAGACTCAGATTATGATTGAACAAATGGAAGACCTGCGCAAAAGGGTATATCATGTTTAATTTATGTTGAATATAATCTGCACGGAAAAAGTGAAGACATATATTGTTTTCTTTTTAAAATTTGATATTGTTGAACTTTTCTAATTTATTTCAAATTCCATTTATTTGAATATAATGTTCAAAAATGCACCTGCTTCGTGCCACAATGTTTTGTTTTTTCCTTGGCCTTGGCGGATTTAGATCGGATGTCTTAGGTGTTCAAGGATAGTGGTGTTGAGGATTCAGAACAAAGAGAAGGAAAAGATACTCACTGCGGCAGGAGTAGACTTATTGCTTTAGAGGTTTCAGCTTACGCGAAAGGAAGAACATGAAAATCTTTTTTCTTCTGCAAAAACATAATTTAATTGATGGAATTTGATACTTATGAAATCAATGGAATTCCTAGTCAAATATTTTTTTAGAATATATTAATCCGATCCCATAAAATGGAAAGAAGATGAGCTCTTCATTATTTTTTATTACTTAGAAGCCATGCCAGATGAAAGTTTACCATGGTAAGCATAGAAATGGACTAATTTGCAGATGAAGTTTACTATTTGCTAAATTCCTAATGCATGGTGTAATATAATTGTGTATGTTAAATATATATATATATATCTCTCTCTCTATATCATTTGTCTAATCTATGGGTCTCTGTCCCAAATGGCAGGAGCGTCAGCTGGGAGACCTTAACAAGCAGCTCAAGATTAAGGTTGCTCTGAACCATCATCTATATATGCATATTGAATTGTTCAGCATCTGTCCATACATATATAATGTCCATTTATATACGTTGGTAAACTAAAATACTAGTATATACTAATGTTTGTGGTTGATATATACAATTTTCAGCTGGAGGCAGAAGGACAAAGTTTTAAAGCCATGCAAGGATTGTGGAGTTCTGGTGCAGCAGCTGGTCCTAGCACTTCCCACTTTGCACTTCACCCTTCTCAATCCAACCCTATGAACTGTGATCCTGAACCTGTTTTACAGATAGGGTGAGTATATGATATCCATAATAGAGCCTTTTTTTTATTTTAATTTATTAGTAATTAAATTATATTTGCACGATCATATCAACACAATTAATTTTTTTAATAAAAATCACACATGAGAAATAGGTCGTCAAAATATATAATATACAATTTCAAATGAAAATTATTAGTTGATAATATCTAAAATAAAATAAAATAAATTAATGGTTTATTTCTTATAAGTTCAAAAAATTTTGTAATAAGATTATTGGGATATTGACAATCTTAAGCTTTGATAATTATAAAATAAAAAAAAATTTTATTTACTTAATTAATAACTAGCTTCATAAATACTTTTGCATGGCTATATAACACATTTTTTTTTATAAAGAAAATAAAAATATATCTTAATGCTAATTATAATAAATACTCACATTTTTAGCACGGAGTAAATATTAAAGGCACAGAAACTTTTCAAAACGGGATTGGTCGGGCCAATTGTATATATATGTTATTCTGGGCCCTTCCTCCGTTATCTCTTTGTACGTTGGTTCCTTGATTGATTATATATATATATATACTACACACAGTGAAAGACAAACACACGCTATATAATCATAAGTAATTAGTTGATTAAGTTGCAGTAATTAATACTAATATTGGTGCACCTGACAGACTATATATATATGTATATATATGCATATTTATGTATAGGTACCAGCAGTATGTTGGAAGTGATGAGGGGCCTTCTGTTCCGAAGAGCATGGCTTGTGAGACCAACTTCATCCAGGGATGGCTCCTTTGATTTAATTTCAACTAGTTTATTTTATAAATTAATTAATAAAAAATTAAATCACAATTATGATGATCAGTATATACAACTAGACTTACTGCTTATGTTGATTAGTCAATTAATACCTGATTTTGTTGGGATTGATTTCTCTCATATTTAATTCTACTTGACTCGCAGTTTATATACTTTTAACTATCGTGTATGTGTGTGTATATATTGTTTTACGCATTAATATTTTAGTTACAATGCAGCTTTGCTGACTGTTTTCGCCCATTTGAGTCTATTAGACACACACACACACACATATATATACATATTACTAAACACAAACAGCTTCTTATGGAAGCATGCATCTCAGAGCAAGAACACAAGTAATGAATTATTAATGCCTCATTACCTCTATATGCCCTGTTTTCTTTTTTCTTTTCCCTTTTTGATTTGCACCTAAACTTCCATGTCCAAAACCTAATTCTGTCAATTATTCTGAAAGGTTTAAATTGTTGGAATTTTTGGGATTATACACCTATACTTACACCCTCACATAAATTATTATATTATCTATGTTCTAACCTATTACTCACCTAAAAAACCATCAATCTAAAAAGTAAAAATTAATCAATATGAAGTGTAATCCCACATGTGGGACTATACCACCAAGTTTACACTTTTGACAAGTTTGTGAATTGGCTCTAAGGAAGAAGAACATTAATGCAGGCTTCTGCATTCAGGACTGCTGGCGCCTGATATAACTGCACTTGAGAAATAAAATTGGAGAATTTAAATTACAAGTAATATTCTATATGATTATATATACCCAAATACATTATTCCCATTGCAGTTCCAAGTTTGATATGACTAGTTTTCTTAACATATAATTACACACATATACTCTTACTATATTGTACTGATGTTTGACTTAAATAATATAGCTTGCGCAACTTCAACTTAATAATTGATATGTCTATAATGCTAGCAACAATCATAAAATTTGATTTACCTCACAAGAACATACAGACTTAAATTATCTATGTCATCAGTCAGTTTTTCGGAGGTAAGATGCATCTCGGTCTCCTTGTTGGTGGTCCGATAAACAGTTCGGTTTCTACATCTGAACTCGGATTACTGTCTTCATTCGGTACCATTATCTTTCTTTGCTCGTTAGTTGCTTGCCATGATTGAGCATTGTTCTGAAACAATTTATTGAATTTAATTTTGTATTTAAAATTTTTACAGATTAATAATGAAAAAAGATATGAAAATAAAATTTTTACTTCTGAATAATTCCATGCGTAGTTTATTTTAAAGATTCTGTGATTCTTCTCTTGGCAAATGGGTATGTACGTAAATTAATCATTTGTAGAATTGAAAGTATAGATGAAATTGATTAAGTTATATTTATATTGATTAATGTGTAAATTATTACTAAATCGTACCTAAAAGAACTGAAAATTGAAGTACTAAATGAAAATATATTAAATTTGAAGCCAACACAAATATAAGAGAAATTTTGAGGAAATTGCATACCCATCTCATAATATTGAATTCTTACCTTCTCAGTCAGCTTTGCATTTTCAGCTAGTAGGGCTTTTTCCTGAAATTTATTCTGATAAAAAAAAGGAAAAACTATAAGTTAGCAACCAGCAAAAACACAAGTTTTTTGTTATCTGCTAATATTCTTACAAATTCAACTCTGACTGTGTTTGTAGATTCCAGCCAAGCTTACAGATGCGTTCAAAAATTTCTGCGTTCTAACGGGATGGCTGGCATCAATAATGGATTAAAGAGTCTTCACAAAGGAGATAATCTATGAGACTTTTTCTCTAGGCAAGTGATAAAGCCTCGGGTTCAGATGGATTCTCAACGGCTTTCCTTCAAAACCGTTGGCCTTTCATTTTCGTAATAAAATATTCGGTTTTTCCCGTCAGTATAAAGTTGAAAGTTGAAGACTTTTGATTCCTGAAGGGACCAAGGCAGGCCATTGGTCGAGAATTTTCTTTGTTGTTTTCCTGGTGTAAACTGTGTGTGGAGGAAAGAAAAGAATACGTCTTGTTTGCCCGGTGCTGGTATTGATTACTCTTGATTCTCTTTTGGCAGTTCTCCTCGGCATTCGTCACATGTGAAGATCTAACCCAAACAGGAAATGAATCAACGCCTGCCTGGTGTAAAGTATGCTTTTTTCTCCTTCCAATCATCTTCTACTCCTGGTAGTTACAGAAGATAGTCTCCAGTTGGGTAATACTGTGAGCGAAGGTTTGAGATTGCCCCCGATTGGAGCAGGAGAGAAGGAGGTGATACATACGGAGCAGTGGTAGGAACCATGGCTACATCCTGTTTGGCTTCTCAAGTTCCGCCGTTGAAGAGGGTTGCCTTTGAATTGGTTAGGAATAACAATCTAAAGCTGCACAAATGTTGGCATGAGCTTGTTAGGCTTCGAACAGTTTTTCTAGAGGCAAGAAGAGGGATTTGGTCTCCAAATAGCGGAGTCAGAAGCAAATTAAAAGGTGTAGGTAGGAAGTAGCTTGCCAAATTGAATCTCGCAAATTGGCTGTTAATGGAGGAGGTGGCTTGGAGATGGAGGGCTAGATTGTTATGGACTCGACAAGGAGACTGCAAAAAAAATTATTTCACCTGTTCTAATGTTAAATTCTTTTCTTCACTTTCGAAAGGTTCACTTCTTTTAACTCAAGATCGCTTCGGTTTTTTGCGTTTTCAGCTATGAGTTACTATTCCTTCACCTCTTCAAGATTAGTCAATAAGATCAAGTGAATCCAGGAAATTTAAAATGGATGGCTTTGCTTGAAGTTCATGTTCTTGTACTGTAATAGCTAGGAATTACCTTTTCATTTTCTCTTTTTGTGCAGCATGTGTTTTCCTAGTTTGATGCGTCCTCTGCTTTGTGTTATGTTAAGAATATAAGGGATAAATTATAGATTTTGCCGTTTTAGTATTAGCTAAAGTTTTTGGGATAATTCTTTAAGCAATTGAGAACCTTATATTGTAACATTGAGCACCTCATCACCTTGCTTTATTATTCACTCATCATTTCATTCGCCTGATATTGATTTTTGGAGGCATGCAAAGCCCATCAATCTCTCTTTAACTTGGATCTTTTCACTCGTTTTCATACTTTTTTGACTTTTTTCTTTGGATTTGAATGCACGAGCCAAGCTTAAAAATACCAGTTGCACCATTAGAGGCACATGGACTTTGAGAGAAAGGCTAGGTTTTGTTTTAATGGATCCTGATGAAAGGATCATTGGAGGGGCTGAGGAGTATGAATGTAGGGCTAAGAGGCGTTAGAGTTGGCTTTCCAGTTTACCAATATCCAGTTAGTTTGGTTATGCACATCTTGCATTAGATATGATCCCTGGGCCATTTTAGTCCAACCAAGAAAGTTCTCCCTTTCCATTCTTTTCTTGCAACAGTCATAATTAGGATGAGTGTACCGGTTATTTTAGGCCATCTATGGTAGAGTAACAAGGTTAGTTTTGAGTACGCATCAATTATAGGCAATTACTTGGGTGTGATCTCCATGTGAGATGAGATTTTATTTTGTTTAAGTTAGTTGACAATTGGATAGAGGTTTATTATTTGCGAGAAATTTTTGAGTCTCAGCTTTAATTACATACTATGTTATGTTTGTGATTGATTTGAGGAAAGGAAATAAATTAGTTTGTGGGAAGACTTTATTCAAATTGGATAGATTTTTCGCTAGCTTTGGACATGAGATGTTGTAACGTGCTCAATTCTGAAGTTTGTGATGTTATAACCTAACTATATTAGAGCCTGAGTTTTGTTAAAAATTCATATTCCATGGAGAGAATGAGTATTAGGTAGAAGTTGGACACTTTAAGGGTTATATAAATTAGCTCCTTTATATGTGTGTGTGTCTATAAGTATCCATGATGCACTTGATTAGGTGGGGAGTAAGGGAGGATTAAGGGAGTGGAAGCTATGGCTATTTAGCGAACAGAAGGTGATATGGAGATGGGTAATACGGGAGTGAAGCTGCGAAAAAATTGACAGATGAGAGTGATGGAAGAGAGTGGTCAATAATGAGAAGGATAAATATGCTGCGTGGATCTAAATAACATTAAAAAATTAGCAAGATGTTCTGTGCAAGTTTTCAAGGTTTAGAAGATCAAGCATTCAATATTGTCAAGGCAAGGAGTAGTAGGAGGGAAAATCAGGCTCAAAAAATCAAAAGTCGAGGTTCAAGGGAAGACACGGAGTAGAAAAGGATAGAAAATTGAGAAGGCTTCAATCTTTAATTAACTATGATAAGGAGAATAAGGAGGAGGAAAGGTAAGAATGGAAGTGTTGAGATCTTTTTTCATGACTAATAGTATCGTATATGATTAATAGATATTGGGGGGGTGGGGGGGGGGGGAGGTTCTTTATCATGATTAATAGCATCGTATTATATTATAAAATATATGGGGCTTAAATGATTCTAGTAAGAGCGCATTCATAAAGGATATATGTCCAGATGGAAACTTGATGTTATTTGCTTCCAAGGATAAAAACTGAGAACATTTTCTGACCAGATAACTCATAATATTTGGAGGATTAAGGAGGTAGTTGGAAGGACATGCTTGCATTGCATTGGTAGTTTCGCAGGGAGGCACGGCTCGGGGGTGAAGATGTTTTAGAAATTGAATATCATTTTGGGGAAAAATATTCTATATCGTACTTTTTCACATGCAAGGTGAACGGGTAGAGATGAACTTTTACAGCTGTGCACAACAATGGGAATTGGAGGGATAGGGATGAAGATATGCTTTGGTGTGACTTGGAGGAATGTAATAGAAAATGGGAACTTTCTTGGGTAGTTGGTGGAGACTTAAATATGGTTTTGAACAGTTTTGAGAGATGGGAGGCAAATTCCTCTAAAACTTACAAAGAGGAGTTTTATGATGCTTTAGATAGATTGAACCTAATGAAATTGCCTCTTTTGGGGGGTAGGTAGACTTGATCTAACTCCAAGGAGCATTCGTCTTTCTCCAGGTTAGACTGATTCATTGTTTTCTTCACTTTTTAAACTCATCCACCAGGTTTGATGCAAAATATTCTTCAACATATAGTCTCTTATCACTTCCCTATTTGTTTGGATATGAATGATATTAACTAAGGCCCTTGTCTATTCAGATTCAAGAGTGCCATGTTTCAAGGAAAAGTCAAGGAGTTGTGGGACGAGATAGAAGTGGAAAGTTTTGCCCAAGGATGTGGATTGGCCCGAAATCAGATTGAAGTAGACTGGACAACCACCAAATTACCTTTATGATTCGGACCAAAGACCAATTCAATTTGGACCAATGCATCCAAAAATTAAAATGTTAATTTTAAAAGAAGAGACTTTTTGAGAAAAAGAAAATTAAAGAAGAATGAGGCTCATTTCAGTTGAAAACAAAACACCAAACCTTAATAACCTTTTTTCTTTTCAAACTTTTTATCACTTTCCCATCAACCAAAACAACTCGTTATTTCCGCCTCTCCCTCTCTCATATTGGATTCACACACAAATTTTCAGGACTAATTGTGTTATATTTCTCATTCAATGATGTTACTCTACATATATACACAAGTTCTAGGGATAAGAAAAAGAAAGTTACAATTACAAATGATGTATTTTATTTTAATACCATTTAACCTAGTTTACCCCTAATTACACATAAGACACATTCTTTAACACATTCTTTTATGCTGGAGATGGATGTTAATCCCCAACTTGGTAGTGATGGTTTGGAACACTAGGTTACTCAAGTCTTTGGTCAATACATCTATAAATTGTGACTTCGTAGACACATAAGGTGTACATATCAAGCTATATTCTAGCATCTCTTTAATAAAATGCCTATTAACTTCAATGTATTTTATCATGTCATGCATTATAAGATTTTGAGCAATGTTTATTGTCAATTTGTTGTCACAGTAAATATGCATTGAGTCATCCCACTTAATTCTTAGATCTTCTAGGAGCCTTTCAACCATAATAACTAATCAACCCTTTATGATTGCTTGGAATTTTAACTTCGCACTTGATTTTGCAACTACATTATGTTTTTTACTCCCCCAAGTAACTAAGTAATCTAGGAAGGTACAGTAACTGGTAGTAGATCTTCTGTCCACCAATGATCTTGCATAGTCCAAATCAATATAAACTTCCAATATTAACTTGTCATTCTTTTTAAATATGATCCCTTCCTATAGTGTTTCATTCAAGTTATGGAATATTCTATAGGTTGCTTGTAATTGTGCCTCTTTAGAGTTGTGCATAAACTGACTTATCCCACTAACTACATAAGCAATGTCAGGTCTTATGTGTAATAGGTAAATCAACATGTCAACTAGTCTCTACTACATTCTTTTATCAATGTTAGCGTCCTCTTCTACTGGTTCTAACTTATGATTGTAGTCAATAGGTATGCAAGCTAGTTTACATGCTAGTTTATCCGTATCTCTTAATAGATCATTTATGTATTTCTAATGTAAGATGAAAATTTTTTATTTTGAACGAGCTACTTTGGTTCTTAGGAAGTACTTCGACTTTCTAAACCCTTTGATTTCACACTCCTTGGCCATGTATTTCTTGAGTACAAATTTTTCTTTTTTATTGTCCCATGTCACAATAATATCATCTACATTTATTAAGAGAGCTATAACTCTCATTGGATCTATATACTTGATGAACAAGGTGTAATCTCCCTAACTGTGCTTGTACCCTAATTCTTTACTTGAGATAGCAGGCTCCCCATAAAGCTTTTTACATTTATCTTTGGTGCGTTGAGACTTTTTATAGGAAATACACCATATATTGTCCTTATTCTCTCTTAGGCTTTCAATGATACTTAGCTCATTTCCTTGTTGAAATGGTTTAGAGTCTTTAATTGTCATTAGTTGAATCGTCAGTAATACGAGGCTCCAACATAACCCTTTTCTTACTTTCTTCGGCAATAAACAGGGTATTACCTCATCCAAAGATAATGTCTCATTTTTTCCCAATATTTGAATTTTTACTCGATCTTATTCTTAATTGAGTTATGCCATGAATTGATGTACTCTATCTTTCTCTACCATCTTCTTTAGGGTAGCTACATCTTTCCTGCTGTCAAAACCCATTTAGAGTGTAATTAAAGAAATGGTAAAATAATAACTTCACTTAAGGGTAATTTGGTAAAAAGATAGAATCAGTTAGGGTTAGGGGTGACAAACCCTAACAAACTCATAAGTTCATTAAGCAGTTGATGCTCTAGTATTATCCCCTCATCTTGTGGCTAACGTCAAGCTCATCACACGATTCCGGCAAGCATGATTCCAGCCACGGAAGACGTTTTCTTTATTGCATTTAAGCCTATAAAAGATTCGTTTTCGTTGTTATGCAATAATGTCAGAATCAATAAGATTACTTATGCATTTCTCTTCAATATTCTTAATCTTTTTCGTTCTTATTTTCTCTCTAAATCAGAGCCGTGTCAAAGATATTTGACAAGATGTGCTAACATTGACGCTCTAGTATTATTCCCTCATCTTGTGGCTAACGTCA